TATATTTTTCAATCATTTTTCAAAATTCCAACCTTCTGATATTAAGCAACAAGAAAAAATAAAGTATAATTGTCTTAACCTAAAGGTAAAAAATGTCCTATTCATTCCCACACTTTGCTACAAAAAATACATAACATTATTAAAAATAAAGTAATCAGATGCTAATTTAATGACTGTAGAAATGATCAGTAATGTCACTAGTTTCTGCTTGTCTTATTTTAAAACCTCACTCATGCACAGTTTATATAAGACAAAGTGTGGGAAAAGGTCTCTAAAACTCAAATTAAAACTTTTTGTTTTTTGCCAAATGACCCCTTCTGAATGGCCGTTTTATTGCAAAAAGACCAAGAGCCTGTGCAACCTGTTCAGAAATGTAAAAAGCATCCCTCAGAATCGCAGAATGATTCAAATATACCTTCCACACAGTGTGCACAGAGGCTTCTCTAACTGCAGGATGATACGCTCGGACAGGATGATAGACACATACAGGTCAGGCTGTACTCTGTGTCATGCCTCGGGGTGTATCATCCCCRCTTCCTCCGATGCAGCCATTGTGACAGTCATCATCTGTGCCTCTCAAAATAAAACAGACAGAGGCAGAGAGGAGCGGGGCATGCTGGGCCACTGCTGCTTATATAGGCCATTATATTTGTCACAGTGAATGTGTGTGGATGCTTGAAAATAGCCCCAGGCCTAATTGACAGTTAGGTTTTTAATGTGCGGCTTCAAGGCCTTGACGATTATTAGACTGTTCACTGAACAGAACAGAAGCAGGGGCCTTCGTGTCAACGAACGGGACCATCTGAGTTCATGATTTACAGTCCAAACTGTTTGGCTTTGACTTCGCTTCATCAGATATCCCTGAACAGTGGACACAGGGGCTGCAGGGACATGAATGGTGCCATTGTTTGAACACAGCAGCCCCTTTATTTTGAAAATTAGCCAGGAATTAAAAGAGTGAGACTGCAGCTTGTGATCACTCCGGCTACACAGACTTTAGGATTTTACTGTAGCAGTTTTCCGCTAATGGTAGCTTTTTTTCATACTTTAAAGGAATGCCATCTTATACTAAGATCAGAGTACCTGTTGTTAATTATTTTCAGCTGTTACCAATGTTTAGCTTTATATCTGTACAGTTGATTGAGTCATGGTAATTTTTGGTTGGTAAATGTTGATTAGCTGCAGTGGCCATCTTGAATTGGCTCCAAAAGGTAATCAACTGTAGACAAAGTACTGTAAATAGTTCACTGCAAAGTTCTAGCTCTAGTTTTGTCCTGACCATCTCCGTAAATCTCGGCAAACATCCAACTCTGTCTTTTATTCAGTGACAACACTCGTTTATGTGTTTCTGCTTTACAGTACTGGTCTGTGTCGGCCTCTCTCTCATGGCTTTGTGCCCCACACAGGAAATGGTCTCTATTGTCCTTGGGAGAGGAAGCGGCCCCTTGCAGACCAGTCCTGCATTGACAGAGACCGTGGTAAATTATTAATCTTCATTAACAAATGGAAGCCTCACACGGAGCAGCACTGTCAGTCTTCTTGGGATTGTTTCGGAGCAAAGAAGAGCAGGGCTGCAACGAAACACCTGTCAAAAAACACCACAGATCCAAGTTTTAACACTGGTAACTTGTTACTTTCTGCAGCAAGTTTCTTTTTTATTAAATGCACCTGCTGTCAGCTTTTTTGTTTTAATAAATGGTCAAAGGTGAAGAATATTTGTTTGCTTCTTTCAGTGTTTTACCACCAGAGGTAGACAGAGACTCACTCACATTGCCTGGCTCTCACATGTGGCCCTCAGGGTTAAAATAGCTCAACACTTGCTCCGGTCACATGTGGGAGCCYTTAAAAGTTTGATCCTGATAAAATACGTGCAGCATCTAAAATTATCACCCACTACAGATGTTCTTTTAAAGGCACAGCATGTCACAAACAGTCGTCTGAAGACACTACAGTTGCTAACATATGTAAAAAGTGTACTTTGGACGTAAATCATAAAATGCACAGCACATTTAGTTGCTATTTCTGGCCCAACATATGAGAAGGTGTGATTCCTCTGGAAGCTCAGTCAGTTTGCACCTTATATATTACCTTGCCAGTGCAGATTACAGAGACAAAACACACCAGCATGTGTAAAACAAGAAACAAACAAAAAGGCTAAAAGTAACAACTTTTATCTCTATCTCATCAGGGCTCAGATTTCTTACTTTATAAAACTGTTTGTTTTAGAATTCTACCTTTTTTGTATTTCAATTTTTTGTATGATTTTATTGTTAATTTTTATTGCATGAATTTGTAAGATGTATTGGTTGGTTTTATGTATTTTCTTGGCAGACATGCTTATGCATTTTTAGTGTATTTGGATGCATAAACTGCATGTACTTTATTTGCGTAGAAATGCCCAACCAGCAGGGAGTTGCAAATTAGCTGTAGCTATATACTCTTTGTGCAACGCATCAGTTACAGATTTGATCTGTTCTATGTTTTTGTTTGCATTCTCCCTGATAAATAAATAAATAAATAAATAAATGAAAGAAAGAAAGAAAGAAAGAAAGAAAGAAAGAAAGAAAGAAAGAAAGAAAGAAAGAAAGAAATAATAGAAACAAAGTCCCAGGTGTTTTACCTGTTTCTACTGCCTGTTCTTTTGAGTGAAGCTGAGCGTGTTTTGTTTTTAAACTACATTTCCCATGATGCCTCGCGTTCGAGATGACCTAATGGAACGCACGAGCGTGCTGTGACAGCTGAGCTCCAAGTTTACTGAGGGGGGAACTTCAGAGCCGAATACGACCTTGAGCTGARCCGCAGGAGGTTTTAACATGTAAGTTGAACTCACTCTTCCTGTTTTCACAGATTTGTGACATTTCGTAAACACGTCTTGTTGTTATTTGTCCTTTTCGTTTGTTTGTAATAATCGTCCAAAACTTGCCCAGAGGGAGACATTTCCACCAAAACGCCGCAGGAAGAAGGTGGGCGGATGTGTTGATGCTGCCATTCATGTTGTCATCACTTTAACACCTTCACATCAATCTAACGAACATTATTAACTCATTAAGACCAACTTGGCCRTATCTAATGAGCTAACACAGAAATTAATATTTTGCTGTTTAACCAGTTGGTTTACCCCTTTAAAAACACATGAAATTAGGCTTTATTTTGCTAGTTCAACTTAGTAGGTATAGCTCATTTTAAAGATTAAAAAACTCTCTCAAACAGTAATTTTATTTTATAGCTGGTGGTCTTTGTTTAAGCAACTTAAACTGATAAACACATCTGAGTTTTACCTTTAAAATCCTAGCAGCTGTGACTCACAAAGTGTACCCACTGCTGTAGACAAACTGTTGGGTCATGAATAGCACCTTTGTGTGTAAACCACCTTTTATCCCCTGTGTGTTCAGCAGTGTTGACTGATATGAAACGGAGGCATTAACAGAGGCAGAATGAAATGAAACATGCTGACCCAGCTGTAGTTATGGTACCAAAAGTAAACCCCAAGATTAAAATTCACGTRTGACAAATTGGAGAACGAAAAATGAACTTGTCTCAATGATAATCCCACCCTGAACAGCTTTTCACGTCAACAGGATATTAGTTAAATTAATAAGAGCAAAACRGTTCAAAATGCATTTGTTGAACATTACAAGTTCCTTTAAATTTATTTGTGGCAAAACTTTTGTGACTTAACTGAGAACTATGTCTTTTATCTTTATTGCTATTTTAGTGTAAGACCTTGAAGGAAAATACATTTTCATTATGGATGGAAATGTACACTTGTGAGTTTATAAGACTAAAATCTTTTTTTTGTACTCTCATATAATGTAATTCACTAAAAAACAAGATTATATCTCATAATAATACTTTTAACTGTAGTCTTTGTTTCCAGATTATGACCAGATTTGACAAACATTTGTTGCCTTTGTGAGCTCCATGTAATTGCGGGTTCCTCTGCTGTTTTCCTACAGGTAAACACAAGCGTTTAAAAGCTRCATCACTATCAAAATAAATGAACAAAATACACACAGGTCTGAATAAAGGGAAAATTTCTTTCAAAAATAATGTATGGYTACTTTTAGATAAAGAAGATTTCCACAAAACAAACATTCACATGATAAAATATTGCATAGATCAGATTCAGTGAGTAATTAATCACTGATTAGTGTCTGTAAATCAGTGAGCAGCAGTGCTGGCAAACAGACTTGACGTTGTCGCAGTGATAAGGGTTGAAGTACAGGAAATAGCTGATTTGAATGATATTGTCGAGACCAGATCTTTGTGGACTTTGATGCAAATGAGGGAAAAGGAGAGTCGTGACTCGTCGTATTGTCACGTTTAGCAAGCTTCGGTTGTGCTCTTTTTAAGTCTGTTCATTGTCTGTTTAAGCAGCACGCCTTTTCAACAGTGGACGCCCCTCCTTCTGCTCCTCTTCCTCCCCCTCTCATTCCCATGTCAGCTCCAGCTCCACCCTCCCTCACTGTTGCTTTCTCCACTTTCTGG